GGAGGGGGTACGGCCGGGTCACGGTCTCCATCACCACCGAGGAAGAGTTTACCACTAACAAGCCCCAGTGTCCGCCCCCCTCCTGTGTTTTGCCCCCTGCAGCACCTTTACCTGTCTCGGGGCGGGGGGAGCAGGGGGGCAAGAGGACTGCTGGGCACAGAGGCCTCCCCCCAGACCCCACAGCGCCCCAGCCCCTGCACCTCACTGCCCCCATCACACTCTTCCTCGATCTTCTCCAGGTCACGCACATGATTGACAACGAGGGGACGGTTTTGTTCGCCATTTTCATGGCGATCTGGGGTAGGTGTCAACGTCTTGGTGCCAAGACCATGCTGCCGGGAAGAGGGAGCAGCCCACTGTGGCTTAAGGGGAGGAGTAGGTGGAGGAAAACGGGACACAGCTTCACCATTCCGGGGCTTTTTAGTCCTTATCTCCTCCCAGGGCCATCAGCTCCCCTTCCAGACAAGGCAAGGAACAAAATCACCCCAGCAATTTCCTTCAGCTCCCCAAACACTCCTTACCTGTCCCGCCTGAAAGCTTTCACTCCTTCACCCACTACAAGCTCCTGCAAAGCTCCCCACATCCCCCCTAGCCGGGCTTTTCTAGCGCTGCCTGTAAGTGGGGGCAGCTGCAGGCAGGAGGGACCACCAGCCCCCTCATTAGCCGTCCCAGCTGGCTGCTGAGCTCCCAGCTGCTCTGGAACAAGCACAGCAGACCCCTGGGCACGGAGCTGATCTGATCCCAGCACCGTGTTAGCTACACACCTTGGCTGGCTTTTCTACGGCCCTTTCAGTTACAACCCCCACCGTGGGGGTGGGCTGGGCGTTTCACCCACAAGACCACGGTCTGAGCAGGTCACGGACACGGTCCTGTGCATCGCTGTGGGCGGGCTGACACGGGGACAAGCTCTGGAGGGTCACTCCAGATCAACAGAAGGGGTGGCTGTAAACGGATCTGCAGAGGCGCAGCCACGCCGGGGTGCAGCGCAGGACACTTATTCCACTTGAAAGGTGTATTTTTCGTTAAGCCAGAATAACGTGTCTGGGTGCTGCCATGCACACATGCCCACCATAGCAGAACTGCCCCGGTGCTGACTCTGGTTGATGCCAACCCCCCTACAGACACTAGAGCCGGCCTGACTCCCAGTGACAACTCACCCGCACACCTCCGGCCCCGGCCCCGCGTGGGGCCGAGCTCTCCTCGCTGCATGTCCGGGGCCCTCCCGGCTGCTGAGGTGTGGAGGTGGCCACGGGCAGTCCGGGCTGATCTGGTACCAGGTTGGGTGGTGACATGACTATCCATCCTGCTCTGCGGGACAGCGGGGGGACTTTGTCTCCAGAGCCACCCCCGCGTGTCACAGCGCTGTCTCCTGCCCCCCGCAGCCACCGTGTTCCTGGAGCTGTGGAAGAGGCAGAGAGCCACCGTAGTCACCGACTGGGACCTGTACCGGTGGGATGAGGACGAGGTGAGGATTCCATCTTGCCTGCTGAGTGCTTCCCTTTGCGGGGCAGGGGTCAGCTGGACCTACAGAAGAGACACGTCACAGGGACCCCCTTGCCCAGCTGGATTCTCTGTAGGTGTAAACATCTCATGGGGACACTGAAACAAACAGCAAAGCCAACGTCAGCGGGACCTGGGAGAGACGGAGCTCTCCTGGCAGTTAAGCAGATGCTAGCCACTTCTCTGCATTGATAGTCACCTCTCCACCCGCACGAGGGCTTGGCCTCGATCAGGACTGGCCACGCTGTTGTGGGCTGGGTGGTCACCCCTGTCCTCCTCTGGTGCTGCTCATCCCATATGTCCATTAACAGAACGACCCCAGGACTTTCCACTACCTGGGCACAGCTCTGCTCGATCCTTTCTTTCCCCTTTTTGATTATTTTTTTGTTTTTAGGAGGAACTGGCTATGGAGCTGATCAATAATCTGCAGCACGAACCCCGGCAGTACCAGCACTCCTACTTCCGCAGCACCATCGTCCTCCTCTTGGTTCTGGTGATGGTACGTGCCAGGGTGACTATAGGAAGACCTGGTTTAAGGGCACATGGTCTTTCCTCCTTCCTTCTACTCTGCTGCAAGAGCAGCACCTCAGAGCGTCCCATTGCTGGAGCAAAGGCAGAAACCAGGTTGTAAGGGCAGGTCTGTGCCCACCACAAGGATCCAGGGGCCTCCCTACGCCCACGCCTCACTGTGCTGATGGGAGAGGCCAACCACCCTTTGGGGATCTGGGCTGAAGGCTCTGCCCTTCCAGTGGAAGGCAGTGAGGACCAAGGCAGCAACACAGTGGGTAGGAAGAGGCAAACCCCTGATGCCTTCATTTCTCCCCACGGGCCAATGGAGAGAGCCTAGAGGGGTAGTTCAGGTGGGGACACCCACCTCACAAACCTCTCGTCCTTCACTGAAGAGCGCTGGCTTGCGTTTGAGGCCACGTCCAGATGAACTCTGGTGAAGTGAACCAGGGTTGGAAGGGCTGGTGGTCCTCGAGCGGGATGGAGCACGTGCCCTCCACGCACGGCTCCTCACCCCCCCACTGCCCTCCCCCACAGATTGCCGTGCTGATCGGCATCGCCCACGCGCTCGTCATTTACCGGGTGATAGCCACGGCTCTCTTCACCCAGAGCGACTTCGAGTTCCTCCGCGAGCAGGCCAACACGGTGGCGGTGATGACAGGGGCCGTGCTGCACTACCTCACCATCGTCATCATGACCAAGGTGCGGAGCGAGACACGGGGCAGGCAGCGGGTCCTCTTGCTTTTTCACCCCCAACCCTCCCCTCTCACTTTACACCTGCAGGTCAACAGGCGCGTGGCCCTCTTCCTCTGCGACCTGGGTAAGGAACGCCGGGGGCTGTCGCCCACCTGCTCCCACCCCCCGCAGCACCAAGCTGCCCAGCAGGACCCAGGCGCCGCAGTGCAGCACCCCCTGGTCCCCGAACGCAGCCAGGCTCCCGGCCCCTTCCCTTCCTCCACCATCACAAAGCATCTACCGGGCAGCTCTCGCCACGCAGGTCCCCACGGGAGGCCAGCAGCCCCCCAACACACAAGCTTGTCTGTGGCCCACGTGCTGCCAGAGGGCTATCCCACAGCCACGTTATGCTTTGGAGGGACAGCCACCCTGTGGGGCTGGGACCTGGCATGAGCAGGAAGCCACCATAGCTGCAGGAGAGCTCCCAACGTGGTTTTCCTCCCAGCTGAAGGGCCCCTTCTCCTGCAGCTCGTGGCTCTGAGGGACCTCCCTGCTTCGCTGGGCTCAGCTCCATCAGAGGGCTCAGGTGAAGGGCAGGGAAGGCTCCCGGAGGGGCAGACACACCCTTCCAACCTTCAGAGAGCTGCTGTGACATCCGAGGGGGAGCAGGGCAAGGCCCCACCGCTCCGTGACCAAGCCCCCGGGCCTTGTTCCTTCCCCCAGAGAAACCACGGACCTTCTCCCAGCGTGAGAACAACTTCACCGTGAAGATCTTCACCTTCCAGTTCTTCACAAATTTCTCTTCGCTAATCTACATCGCCTTTTTCCTGGGACGGTGAGTGGTGGCTGGAGCCTGGCGGGGAGCAGAAGGCAGCCTGGGTTTGGGCTGTACATCCCCAACTCTCCCAGGGCCTAGGGACAGCCCAGTGCCTCTACCCTCCCAGCGCAGGGACCCCATTTGGGACCTCAGGGGAGCAATGACCTTTGGGTGGGCTTAGTGGGTGGGGGAAGCCCCTTGCCTCTCCACCAGTTCCCAGAGGGTGATGCCCTCCATCCTGCACCTGGATGTTGGCAGTGCGGCTCAACAGACGTCGCTGCTGTTGCTTCCTTGCTCAGGATCAACGGCCACCCAGGGAACTACGTGCGCATTGCTGGCAAGTGGAGGCTGGAGGAGGTGAGGGACTTGCCATGAAGCTCTCTGACCCCGCACCACAACTCCTGCGCTTCCTTTCCCTGCCGCCCAGCAAGGTTCTGGGAATCTCAGCTTCCTCCTGTAGCACCTGCCTTGGCCAAACGGCCCCTCGGGCCAGGCCGCCCTGCTTGCGGGGCACAACTTCTCTCCTCCTCTCCCTTCGCAGTGCCACCCCAGCGGCTGCATCACCGACCTCTTCATCCAGATGGCCATCATTATGCTGCTCAAGCAGACCATCAGTAACGTGATGGAGTATCTCATCCCGTAAGCTTCCCTCCAGCCTGTGGAGTGCTCCCTGGTGCTCCCGCGCCTCCAGGGCAGCTTCCCAGCTCCTACAGAGAGTAACCCTGGTCTTTGGGCCGAGGTGTCCTCCTTTTCCTTCCTCAGGTCTCCAGGGCTGTCGCTGGCAGCAGTTCAGCCCTGCTGTCCTCTGCGGGCAGCCGTACAAATCGCTCCCTCCCCTTGCAGCTGGACAGCCTACAAGCTACGCAAGAAGCAGCAGCGTCCCAAGAAGAGAAGCGTGATGTTAGGAGAGGAGGAGGAGGCCGAGGACCCCTGCAAAAGGCAGTGGCTGAGCAACTACCAACTCAACGAGGTCAACATCTTCAGCTTGTTTGACGAGTTCTTGGAGATGGGTAGGTAGGGCAGGGGGTTGAGTGAGGAGGGATACTGGGTGCAGAGCCACGTGCTCTCCTTGGCTGGAGAGAGCCTGACGCTGGGGATCCCATACGTAGGCAAGGGAGAGCTCTGAGACCCAGCTCCATGCCCAGCCCCACTCCCAGAGTTGTGGCACACCAGGGAGATCATTCCCAAAAAGACAGCCAGGCAACTGTGCTGGCCTTGGGCCCCTGCCTAGGACCTTCCTCTGCTCCCAGGAGTGTCAAGGTGATGGCTCTATAACCCCAGGGCACTCCCTCTGCCCGGCTGGCTCAACCAGTGCCTGTGTGGGGCCACCACAGATCCCCCTCTCTGACAGCCCTGTGACAGGTGGGGGTCCCCTGTGGGGGTGTGGGGTCCCCAAGACAGGTCCGTCTCCCCCTTTCACCCCTGCAAAGCCCCTCTGACACAAGCCACAAAACCCAGACCGCGGCCAGGACCCTGTGGGATGTTGCCTCTGCGGTGGCTTCACACCAGCACCCGCTGTTCCCCCCCTCCGCAGTGATCCAGTACAGCTTCACCACCATCTTCGTGGCTGCCTTTCCCCTCGCCCCGCTGCTGGCGTTCTGCAACAACCTCTTCGAGATCCACCTGGATGCCATCAAGATGATGCGGCTGCACCGGCGCATGGTGCCCAGGAAGGCCAACGATATCGGTGAGACGGGGCCCGAGGAGCACCCTCCCTCCAGCGCCGCTGCTGGCGTTCAGCCCTCGTCCCAGCGTGAAGCCCCTGAGCATCCCTTTGCCGGGGACTGGGATCGCTTCACTGCGGAGGCAGGAGAGCCCAGAGAGGGCTGCGGGTGGGGAAGGAGAAGCAATTTTAGACCCTGCAGAGGCCGAGGGGCAGCTCGGAGGCCTCCTTCACCTCTTCTGGTGATGCCAAACCTGTCCCTGAGCCGAGGCTTGGTCTGCAAGCTTTGAGCAGTGGCAGCGAGGGGCTCACGGACCCCTCCTCTCCCGCAGGAATCTGGCTGCAGGTCCTGGAGGCCATCGGTATCCTGGCTGTCATTGGCAACGGACTGGTGATCGCCATCACGTCCGACTTCATTCCCATGCTGGTCTACAAGTACACGTACAGCCCCTGCATGACGGAAAACAGCACTGACGTGGAGTGAGTGCCGCCAGCCGGCTCTTGCCGCTCTGCCTGCTGTGTCCCTGCCTGCCTCAGCGCCACCCGTCCCCCACAGCGGGGTGGGGGGAAAGGGGAGCAGGGGAGGGTTCTCCATGTGGCGCCACCTTCAGCACCCCAGCTGGCCTCCCGCCCGCATCATCCCCGCGGTGGTGAAGCTGGTACCTCTGAACGGAAAGAGCAGCATGTCGGAGAGCTGCAGGACTGCCGGGGCGCCTGCGCGTGCTCTCTCCCACCCTCCCCCTTTTCCTCGAAGCCTTGACTCACTGGCCAAAGTCAGTCAAACTGGGCAGAAGCCTCAGAGACGTTCATTTCCACCAGGCTTTGTGAAAATGGGTAGCTAGGGAGGGAGCACCCTAGGTGGCTGCTGACTTCCCCAGAATGGAGGTGACAGTCTGTGCTCAGCCACCCCACCAGTCACCCAAGGCCCCACACACCAGGGGAGCGGCAGAAAGGAAAGCTGCAGACAGACAAAGTCAGTCAAACTGGGCAGAAGCCTCAGAGATGTTCATTTCCACCAGGCTTTGTGAAAATGGGTAGCTAGGGAGGGAGCACCCTAGGTGGCTGCTGACTTCCCCAGAATGGAGGTGACAGTCTGTGCTCAGCCACCCCACCAGTCACCCAAGGCCCCACACACCAGGGGAGCGGCAGAAAGGAAAGCTGCAGACAGACAGGCTTTGCGGCCGTCAGCGGCCTTGGAGTCCCCCAGAAGACACAAGAGCAGCAGCTCTGGGTCAGCGCGTGCCACAACCCCCCAGCGTGGCCACGACCCTTCGCTGCCAGCCCAACGTGATCCTTCCCCCCGCAGCTGCTCCACGGGCTACGTCAACCACAGCCTCTCCACCTTCCGCATTCGGGACTTCGAGCCGTACACAAAGGTGCCCGAAATGCTGCCGGACTTCGTCAGGGGCGAGATCGAGGAGTGCAGGTAACAGCAGCCCGTGGCTGTTGCTCGGTAGCATCCCCCCCGCCCTGCCCCGAGCCCCTCACCCTGACATCCAGCC